TACAGTTTGCATATCGTAATGGGCTTGGGGTTGAAGACGCCATCATCTACCTGCTTCAGAGAGCCCACTCTCATCTGGACCAGTCAGACAGCACTTTGAGGGTCATGTTCTTTGATTTCTCAAGTGCCTTCAATACTATTCAGCCTGCTTTACTATGTGAGAAGCTCCATAACTTCCAGGTGGATCCTTCCACAACCACTTGGATTTACGACTACCTAACAAACAGACTACAGTTTGTGAGACTGAAAGGTTGTGTGTCTGAGATGGTAGTCAGCAGCACTGGAGCACCACAAGGAACTGTACTCTCACCATTCCTCTTCACACTGTACACCTCAGACTTCCAGTACAACTCTGAGTCCTGTCATCTGCAGAAATACTCTGATGACTCTGCGGTTGTGGGGTGTATCAGTGATGGACAAGAAGCTGAGTACAGGGAACTAGTCAGTCAGTTTGTGAAATGGTGTGGAAATAATCACCTCATCTTAAATACCAGCAAGACTAAAGAGATGATTGTTGACTTCAGGAGGAGCAAGAATAAGCAGCATTGTCCTGTCTACATCCTGGGAGAGGAGGTGGAGGTGGAGGTGGTGGAGAAGTACAAATATCTTGGAGTTCAGCTGGACAACAGACTAGACTGGAAATGCAACACTGACTACATCTACAAGAAAGGTCAGAGCAGACTCTACTTCTTAAGGAAGATAAGATCATTCAGTGTCTGCACCAAGATGTTGCAGGTCTTCTATAAGTCTGTTGTGGAAAGTGCAATCAGCTTTGCAGCCATCTGCTGGGGCAGTAGCATCAGAACCAGAGATTTAAAGAAACTAAACAAGGTGATCAAGAAAGCTGGTTCTGTGATGAGGATAACTCTGGAACCACTGGAGCTGATTGTTCAAAAAAGAATGCTGCACAAGATGATGAAGATGATGGAGGATTCTTCCCACCCTCTCCACAACACAGTGAAGAATCAACAGAGTGTGTTCAGTGGGAGGCTGCGTCAGTTTCGCTGTAGAACGGAGAGATACAGGAATTCCTTCCTGCCAACAGCCATCACCTTGAAGAACAAGTCTGACTGACTGACTGATTATTATTGTTGTATATATGTTATATTGATTTTTTAAAAAGTGAGCTTTTTACAATATTGAATTTCCCTTCTGGGATAAATAAAGTATTTTTCATTTCATTCATTCATTTCATTTCATTTCACTGAAGTGTTGCATTTAACTGGTGGCCCAGCTGTGTGTAGCTGTAGTAGTCAGTTAGGCCCTTTCAGACATGGGATATGGAACACTGCTGGCTTCATCCATCTGTTAAAGTTAGAGCATTCTGTCATTTAGATGTGGGCCACTTCTCTGGTTAAGTTTCCTCAGGCTTTTCTCAGACATACCCCACAGTGAGAGAAAGATCAGTGGAAAAAAATTTGTATTTTGTCAATACACCAAGTGATGTAAACGGCAATAACAAACCAAAGACTAAATCTAAATTAATAGCAGCTTATCAAACTGTCCAAACAACTAATAGCCTAGTTACTGCTGCTGTTCCATGTATAATACACACATTAAGATGTTGCTGTTTTCTGAAGCAGCAGATATTTAATTATCTCAGAAGAAAGACTCCTACAAACTGATGGAAGTAATAAACGGGCTGCTCAGATGTGAAGAAAAGTACACAGTGTGACTCACTTGATCCTGACCTGGAACAATATACTCATTGTGGGATAATTTAGAATCACAAGTATTAAATGAAGGTACTGGTGATGCTGGATCCTCCTGCTGTCTTATGCGGCAGGTATTTGATAAATTCAGAGGGAAAACTACAAGCAGCAGGAAGCAACAAACTAAACTTTAGCACAAAAAAAACCAAACTCAGATTACATTTATTATTGGTGGGAATTACTAAGCGTCTTTTTTTGATCGCAGGAAAATCTTCTTATTATGAACGTTACAATTTGTATCTCAATAGATTTAAAAATTTAGAGCAAAGTCAATGAAAAAGGTGTGTGGTGAGTTGTGTTTGGCACATAAACTGTCTGTCTTTTGTGCTCTTTCTCAAGTTTTTGGATAAATATTAGTCCTGCAATGTGAAAAAACGTCCTCCCAAATCACTTATTGCAAATCATGTACTTCAGATTTGTGCGGTATTAAAAGTGATATTGAAACGTTACTAGGTCCAAACTGATGCGATTGCCTGTACGACCAGGGTGCTATTATATAGAGGCTCATCACAACAAACAAGCATTAGTAAGAGTAATCATTAATCTTGTTTCTCTCTGGTGGGGAATAATCCACAACTGATTGGTTGAAAAACATGAAAAAGTGGAAACAAAGGGTATGGTGTGAGTTTAACAAGGTTTATCAAGGTGTGCTAGGTGACCAAAAGTGACTAAAACATTGTGGAACATAAGTGACCTGAGCAACTGATCTGCTCTTGGCAGGCAGGCAGGCAATGGACCATGTAAAATGCACTCTGTCTTGATTTCCAAGATTGCACTGCATGCCTGGATTGGCATCATCACATGCTCAAACTGGAGCAGTCGCGGAAATAATGTCCGGGCAGGAAAGTCTGGATGCGGCAGCAAGAGAATCTACCTAAAGAATTTTACACAGTTACATGATTGAAAGGATAGGAAGAAGCTCTGCTCCAGAGGCCACCGCGCAGCGGTAGGCGTGGCCAAACTGACACACCCACTGGATCTGTCAGATTGGCCACACATAGGAACAACAGCTGATAAAGACACGTCACACACGTCAGATGACACTTCTGAAGAAGGCAACAGATAAGATGCCGAAAGATGTCAAGGTACAGCTAATAACTTTATACCATTTGTCCTATGACAAAGAAATCCTTAAGTCTATTTGTACATTGAAGACAAAATTAACATCTTTGCTGCAGTACCTGAAATGAGTTAAAGAACAGCTCACAGTACATGCGGATCTCCCAGCTTGGTCCCTCAAATGTGTGAGGCATCCCAACAAAGATGATGTAATGGATCCCAAACACCAGCACAAGCACAAGCGTGGACTTTGCCAGTTTTCTGTGGAGACACATACACAAATCTAAATTTAAGTAATGTCACTTTCATTTTTACATCGTGCATGATATATATATATATAGTACAGACCAAAAGTTTGTACACACCTTCTCATTCAATGAGTTTCCTTTCTTTTCATGACTATTGACATTGTAGATTCACACTGAAGGCATCAAAACTATGAATTAACACATGTGGAATTATATACTTAACAAAAAAGTGTAAAACAACTGAAAATACGCCTTATATTCTAGTTTCTTCAAAGTAGCCACCTTTTGCTGTGATTACTGCTTTGCACACACTCTGCATTCTCTTGATGAGCTTCAAGAGGTAGTCACCTGAAATGGTTTTCACTTCACAGGTGTGTCCTGTCAGGTTTAATAAGTGGGATTTCTTGCCTTATAAATGGGATTGGGACCATCAGTTGTGTTGTGCAGAAGTCAGGTGGATACACAGCTGATAGTCCTACTGAACAGACTGTTAGAATTTGTATTATGGCAAGAAAAAAGCAGCTAAGTAAAGAAAAATGAGTGGCCATCATTACTTTAAGAAATGAAGGTCAGTCAGTCCCAAAAATTGGGAAAACTTTGAAAGTGTCCCCAAGTGCAGTCGCAAAAACTATCAAGCGCTACAAAGAAACTGGCTCACATGAGGACCGCCCCACGAAAGGAAGACCAAGAGTCACCTCTGCTGCGGAGGATAAGTTCATCTGAGTCACCAGCCTCAGAAATCACAGGTTAACAGCAGCTCAGATTAGAGACCATATCAATGCCACACACAGTTCTAGCAGTAGGCACATCTCTAGAACATCTGTTAAGAGGAGACTGTGTGAATCAGGCCTTCATGGTAGAATAGCTGCTAGGAAACCACTGCTAAGGACAGGCAACAAGCAGAAGAGACTTGTTTGGGCTAAAGAACACAAGGAATGGACATTAGACCAGTGGAAATCTGTGCTTTGGTCTGACGAGTCCAAATTTGAGATCTTTGGTTCCAATCACCGTGTCTTTGTGCGACGCAGAAAAGGTGAACGGATGGACTCTACATGCCTGGTTCCCACCGTGAAGCATGGAGGAGGAGGTGTGATGGTGTGGGGGTGCTTTGCTGGTGACACTGTTGGGGATTTATTCAAAATTGAAGGCATACTGAACCAGCATGGCTACCACAGCATCTTGCAGCAGCATGCTATTCCATCTGGTTTGCGTTTAGTTGGACCATCATTTATTTTTCAACAGGACAATGACCCCAAACACACCTCCAGGCTGTGTAAGGGCTATTTGACCAAGAAGGAGAGTGACGGGGTGCTGCGCCAGATGACCTGGCCTCCACAGTCACCGGACCTGAACCCAATCGAGATGGTTTGGGGTGAGCTGGGCCGCAGAGTGAAAGCAAAAATGCCAACAAGTGCTAAGCATCTCTGGGAACTCCTTCAAGACTGTTGGAAGACCATTTCAGGTGACTACCTCTTGAAGCTCATCAAGAGAATGCCA